ATAGGGCAACAAAGTGAGACTCTGTCTCTTAAAAAATAAGTGAAGAAATAAAAAGCTTGAGTGTACTGCATTTGTCTGAAGGTATACAATTATTGCTACATTGCCTACAAAGAATTTGTTGCTTAAAAAAAAAAAGTTATTTCAAGAGTCACCGTCACTCACCAGGGATGATAGAAGAAGTTCTGTTCTTTTCCCTGTTGCATTGCTTCAGAGCTGTAGAATAGTCACTCTGCTGTATATTTGATTGATTGAGGAGCTGAGCAAGGGAGGTTAAAAATAAAAAAATAAAAATATATATACATACATGTATCTAGGTTATTTCATGTAAGTCACTCAGATAACAGACACACACACAAGACCCAGCTAACATAAGATACTGTTATCTAGTACTCCATTACATGGATAACCCAGATTCTACTTATCTATTCCTCAACTAGTGAATGTTTGGGTTATTTCCAATGTTTTCCTATTTCAAGCTCAGTAACTATAAATATCCCTTACATGCTGCTTAATTGCATGCATGTGAGGATTTCTATAGAGAATTAGGAGTCATGTAAGTGTCTAATTTTTGACAGTCTTATAAATAAAAATGGCATATTATGGTTTTGATTTGCATTTTCTTCGTATCTGCATGACTGCGGATTTTATTAATTTGTAAGGGTTCTTGATGTCTTGAATGTAAATCTATAGTCTGTTAAAAAGTTGCAAATATCTTTAGTCTTTTTGATCAAACAAAACAATTACGTCTTTATCACACAAGCCCTAAAATATATTGAAGGTGGATTGAATAATTAAAGGTGAAAGCAAAGTTTTATAACTATTATAAGAAAATATTAGGAAGTATCTTTTGTTGAGTTCAGGGTAGAGAAAGACTTCTTAAGTAAAAATATAATTTGCAGAACTCTTGAAGAAAGAAAGAAACCTCTGTGGGAAGAAAGACACTGAAGACGTTTGCAATTTTTAAAACAGATTATAGATTTACATTCAAGACACTGAGAACCCCTACAAATTAATAAATTACCGTGAAGCACACATATGCAAAGGCGGTCATCACAAAGAAATCTTAATGGCCAATGAGCCTAAAATTCACTCAAAAAGATGGAAAATCCAACTAGACCATTAAATAAATCTGTTAAAGGTAAGCATTAAAGCTATCAAATCAGTGGCCTAAATCTCCGCTCTAAAATATAACCAGTCCTGAAAGAAGTTAATGTGAGGTTTTACCAACTGTTTAAGAAACAGAAAATTCCAAATGCTAATAAAAATCCAGGTGGAAAACTAACCAAACTATTATATTGAATAAATATAACTTTGATACAATACAGTCCAAGGATAAAACAGGGTATCTATAAGCCAATGTCAATAAAAATCCTACTTAAAATATCAGTAAAATACACTTGATCTTAGCCAAAATGCCAAGAAGCAATAAAAAAAATCAGTAAAATATCAGCAGTTAATATATATATACAAAATCAACAAAATTGTTGTTCATTGGCTGATTAGAAAATATATTAGAACAAAAAGAACCCAATCGTAAATAACAACAAAACAGCTGTAAAAACTCCAGAGTCTCAAAAAATACCCTTATCAAAAGGTACAAAAAATATACATAGAAAACTATTAAGCTTAATGAAATAGCACAGAATTAGGCCCAAATAAATAAAAACATCATATTGATAAATGGAAATATTGTTAAGATATTGACTCTCGGGAGGTGCCTGTAGCTCTAAGGAGTAGGGGGCTGGCCCCATATGCCAGAGGTGGTGGGTTCAAACCCAGCCTCGACCAAAAACTGCAAAAAAAAAAAAAAAAAAGATATTGACTCTCCTTAATTTGAATGTGGTATTCATCATAGTTTCTACAGAACACATTTTCATTAAACGTAGAAAAGTAAAAAGCCAAAAGCATCAACCTATGTTAGAAAAGAAAGAATAAAGGATAGAATTCTTTTGTACTGTATAGAGAAGAGTTATTATATAATAATATTGAAAAACTGAAGAATCAATCAGAGGAATTATGCATAATGAGGAATTCTGTTACATGACAGGAATGACAGTACAAATTACTGATAGAAAGGCGGACTTATGGATAAATGACATGAGGAAACTTTCCATGGTTTCACACATAGGCTGCCTTCAGCTCCAACTTATCTGATTTGCCATTAGCATTTACTATCTTTGTCCATTTCCTCCTTCTCAAAACATTATTTTCTTTGTATTCGATTCTATCCCACAATCCACAACTTTCTTCTATCCCTTGATGGCTTCTTATTTTTTCTTTTGTGGGCTTGCCTTTCATTAATTAATGACAAATTTTCTTAAATAATCTTTCCTAAGCCTTCTCAGAAGCTTCATGTTTAATTGGCTATCTTATCCAATTCCAAGGATTCGAGTAACTATCTTTAAACTGATCTCTCCCAAATCCGTTTTGCCAGGCCAGGTCACTTTCTTATATTGCACACACAGACTTTAACTGTCAACTGTGTGCGTTTACTGAGATTATCTCCCAAGAACCTCAAACTTAGGTAGGGTTAGAAGTAATCTCACTGTCTCTGTCCCAATATACCCTTCAAGCATACATCTCCTCTTCCTGATAAATCACAGTCAATGGTATCACCTCCCTGCCAGCTGTCCAAGGAGGAATCTGAGTACTTTTTTCTTCCGGGGCAGTGTCCAGTAAATCACCAACTCTCGTGTTCCACTCTTAAGATCTTACACAATTTTTCCCTGACAAGCTGCTCCCTTACCTGCCCTCCTATAGTTCTCTGTTCCTCCTCTACAATGACATCCTTCACCCTGTTTTGTGTTTGTCTGTTTTCTTAACTGTATCCCCCCGTTAGACTGCAAATACCAGGAGAGTAGAGGCTAGGAGTGTTCTTTTCTTTTTTTTTTTTTTTTTAAATCATTTTGTATCTAAGTACCAAAAATGAAAAGACTAGTATCTGGTAGGTGTCTGATAAGTATTTATTTGTTCATAGACATGCAATTTATTTCAGTGAAAGTTTTCCATGGATAAACTTGAATGAACATCTTTTTTTACAGGACAGGACACACATACACACTTACCTCCCCCTATTTATGTTGGAAAAAGGAAACAGAGTCAAATAGCTCTCTTTTTAATTGGATTCTGATCTTATAATGGATCTTTTCATTTTTGTCCCAGATGATTCAGTTTAAGCTATATCAATTCTTTTATGTAATAGCATAGGGGCAAAACGTATCTGAATAAGAATTTCATTGAGATTGGGTAACACTGTGTATGTTTGTGTATATACATGTGCATATGTACAAGTATTTGTATGTAAGCAATTTTGGAAATCTTTATCTGCCCATCAGAGTTGTTGTTGTAGGAAGGTCTGACAATTTAGTTCATGAACTCATCCTAGAAAAAGTGCTTTGAAGGGTGGACTAGAGGCTGATGTCAGTGTGTAGCACCCCTCATCCTGGTGGCAAGCTGTAACTCAGTAAATACTTTGGTTTGGTGAGTTGGTTCCCCGCCAGGTCTGGCAACACCCACTTTCTGAATTATGTGCTTAGTGAATTCTGAAAGTCAGAGAAGTCTTGTGGGAGGTACAGTACAGAACCAGACACACTCTGCTCTCTGGTGTACTGCTCCAGACACAGTGAGTGGGAGAGACTGAGGTTCAAGTAGCTATTGTTCACACATGGCCTTCTCCAGTCCAAGGGTTTCAAGTGAGATACAGATTTTTTCAAAGACTAGCAGGAACAGCCTGAGCCACCGCATTCATGTTTAAGTGGTCTGTTTCTTTCTTTTTTTTTTTTTTCCAAAGTAAAAGAAGCACTTCTATGGTCTGTATTATAAGTTCTGTCTGTTCACTCTGTTACACTCTGTGCCCTCCCTTTCCTGAGCCAAGTTTGCATTTATAAACTTTAGGGTTTCTGAAAACTTTTCCTCTTGCTACTCAGTAAGAATTATGTTTCTGCTTGAAAGGTACGGTGAGGCACTGTCACCTACTGTAAAGGAGAAGGATGGTTCAACTACAAAGCCATTGTGTTGACAAGGGCCTCAAGCTACCCTGTGACCTTGTAACTCACAGGAGAAGACGCAGGGACATGCATTTAGGTGGCGACTTCTAAGGGAACTCACCTGGAACTGCTTCTCTAGTTTTGTTTTGCCTGTGGGTCCGGGAATGAGAAGGGCATTAACATAGGCGTGGATATGACTGTCAGGCACCTCGGTTTCCTTACTGAGGATGGCCTCCACCAGGGTATCGTGGATGAAGACGTACTGTTCCTGGAAAAACAACGGCAATAAAGGAAGATTGCTTCAAGTTTTCTTTATATGTATGGAGGTGCAAAGTAGTGCCTCCTACTGACAGACAAGGAAAGGTGCGGGAACCGTGAAGGATTGCTTACTGGACCGGCAAGAAGTCAGATGGAGGAAAGAGAAACAACCTCTTTTCATTTTTCTTAACTTCTTGTTGTGTATTGTTGACATTTGTGGGTAGATAGCAGAAAGATTTGGGGAGGCAAAGCAATGTCCCCCCGCCTACCCTTCAAACTCAACACCTCCACAAGTTCTAAGGGGGCTTCCTTGACTTCCATACGTCCAGTCTGTCCTCCCCTTCCATCAGCCTCAACTCTCCATTGAGCCTTTCATATATAATTTAACTCAAGTTTACACACAGTTGTTAGTAATTCTCTTATATTTACATATTGGACTCTTCTCTGGTCTTATCTCTACAGATGTCATTTCCTTGATGGAAGGAAATTTGGTTTCATTTAGTTTGAAGCCCACTCAGTCATACATCTTTTGGTAGCTTTCAAGGTACTATCCTTAATTCTCAATTTAAGTTCATTTTTATTTAGAAATAGTAAAAATAAAATACAGATTTTCAGATGCTGTTCTATGTCATATATGGGTAAAATATATGGACTTGAAAAGGGATGTAATTAGAGCACAGTTCATGTGATCAGCATTTAACAGAAAAACAAATCCATTAATTCAGAACTTGTATGAGTAAGTTGATACAGACTTGGTGCAACTGGTACAGGAGGGGTGACTGTTCACTGATCCCCTTACTCTTTTCCTGGATCATCTCCAAAGACATTTTACAGAATTATTTCCCATTGGGTCACAAAACAGACAAAATTGAGCAGGTCCATTCATGACATATTTGTAGTTAACTAGCGTCATGGATTAAACTGCATCTCATCAGAAGATAAGTTGAAGCTCTAACCCTGCAGTATCTTAAGATGTTATGTTATTTTAAATAGAGTAAAGATGCAATTAGTTAGGACTGGTTCACCCGAAGTAGGGTAGTGACTGATGTACTTATAATAGGGATACAGACACAGAGGGCAGAACTCCATGTGCAGAGGCAGAGATTGGAATTATGGGGTCACAAGCCAGGGAACGTCTGAGGCCACTAGAAAGTGGAAGAGGCAAGAAAGAGCCTTCCCTTAGTGGCTTCCGAAGGAGCAGGGGCCTGCAAACTCCGGCACAGCGAGGCAACACATCTGTGGTTTTAAACCCCCTCGTTTGTGGTACTTTGCTGTGAGAGTCCTAGGAGACTAATACACCTGCATTTCAGTGATGTCCGCATACCTTAGGTAAATAAAGTTATATTGTGTTTAAGTCATACCTCGGTCTGTACCAAATAATTTCTTTGTGAACGAATGTGTTTTAAGAAGCCAAATACGTTAACAGTTCCTTCGTGTTGAATTTGTTGCAACATACTGTCTAGCACAATATACGTGCCTGTTCTGCCAACCCCAGCACTGCATAGAACACAAAGAAAGAAATACCTCAATGTTAAACATAAAATAAATTTAAAAACAGGTTAATTAAAAATAGGTTACTACTGTCATGTTGATTACAATGTTTTCTTTCCCCTAGTAAATGAGGAAAGAAAGAAATGGAGTGATACAAAATTTGAGACAGGTTAGCATAAATAACAAACATTAAAGTCCCCCTTCAAGTTTCTTTTTAGCCACGTGGTTAACTGCAAAAAATGTTGGATACTTTTAAATTTTCAGTAACTGTATTTCTTATACATTATATATTATACAACACAAATATTATGTATCAGAGTATAGCAAATAGACTTGCAGCCTAAGAAAAATGAAAGCATCAGCTCCACCAAATTTTGAAAAGAAAAGGTCCCTGGGTCTGTATTTCCAAGTAGACATGTTTGTAAAGGTTTCTGCATTAATGGGAAAAAGAATTTGATAAAGCTTTCAGCTAAAAAATATCATTTCAGTGAGATGGTGAGGAATAACTTCAGTTATTTCTAAAGGGTCATTATCTGTCGACATCTTCAAAGCTTCTACCAGAGGACAGAATTCACAGACAGGGATTCTTTTCAAATATTCTGACAAGTGGGATGTGCTGGAGTGGAAAATTAGCACCTGCTCTGCACAATAGCCGGGTCCTTCTCCGTTTGCTAAGAAACAATCCCTGACCTTCAGAGCTATTTTTCTTGCATCTTCTTGTTTTCCTCAGCTCATCGTCAGACAAACAGATTTTAAAAACTCAAGATAGGTCTCTCAAACTTTGAGGATAACTCCTGAAATAGGTAATCAGCATGTGTCAGATAAGCTGTATATCAAAGGAAAACACTTGCTTCTGTGAAAACACAGAATCGCTTTGGCAAAAATACTGCAAATAGAAATGAATTGAATTTTTGTGTTCACAGAGCTCGGCACTAGGATTTGGTAAATATGAACTGCTAGTTAATATTAATTAACTTAATCAATTGATTATATGAATATAACATCTAACATATTTTTCTCTTTCTTTGAAATATAATTATTGCTTTTTATCAACCCAGTCCTGGAAATTAAATTTTCTGGGCAACAATAAATTGATAAAACATTTAACGGGACATATTAGAAAGAACTCAGGAAGATGACAACAGGGTTTTGGTTGCAAAGTCTTTAAAAACACTTTACAGTTATTTTCCCAAATTTCTCACACTCTGTGTGCTTTGGATCCTCTGATGTACCCCTGGTGTAATAACTCAACAACAGACCATTTGCTCCTAGGAGTAGGGTTATCCCACTGTGTTATATGTTGGAATAAATATTTAACAACAAAGATACTGTTCCTTGTGCCTCACACAGCTAAGAAGCTGAAATCCAATTCAACAATCATACACAATAATAAACATCATAAAAATATCTGGTGCTTTGAAGAGTCAGCAATCAAAGTCTGAGTCTGCTATACTTATTTCCTAGTATTCAATACTTAGGGAAAGGAACATGCCATTTCACCCCCTCATTTGCTCTATGGATTTCCTTTTTGTTACCATCAGCAATTCTGTGGGTTTTAGAGGCACATCTCTGAGACTCACCTGCAGTGGACGACAACCGGCCCCACGGCATGGCGCTTGGCGTGGGCTGCCTTTCTCACGAAGGTCAGCACGGGCAGTGAATACTCCGGTACTCCCATGTCAGGCCACTGGGTGTAGTGATACTGGGTAACCACACGCCCACTGGGTCTTCCTTTCTGGGAGCCCTGGAAGAATTCAGACAGCTAATCGCTATAACCCATACTCAAACACACACCCACGTGGGATTCCTAAACATTGAGTCAAATTTCATAGCTAAGTGCTGGTGGTCTACAATGAAGCAAAAAATGTACAATGTCATGTGTGATAATTAATTTTGCATTCACTTAACTAGGAGGTTATGGTGGCCAATTATTTGGGCAAGCACTAGTCACACCAGATGTTGCCGCAAAGATATTGTTTAGATGTGATTAACATGTAAATAAGTAGACTTAAGTAAAGTGGATCACCTTCCATAATGGGGGTGAGCCTCATCCAATTAGTTGAAGGCTTTAAGAAAAATAACTGAGAGTTTTCCTTAAGAAATACTTCTTTTCAAGACTTGGCAACACAGAAATCCTGCCTGAATTTCCAGCCTGCTGCTCTGATGCACTTGGGTTCTAGCCTGCAGCATCAACTCTTCTCTGAGTTTCTAGGGTACCAGTGTACCTGCCCTACAGATTTAAGATTTCCTAATCCTCATAGTTTTTGTGAATCAGTCCTTAAAAATGTAAACCTCTCCCTATCTCTATATCCCTCTATCCTATGGGTTCTTTTTCTCTGAAGAACCCTGAGTAACATTCTTCTTCTTTTGTTGTTCTTATCCCTTATTTCAATCCCCACTCTTTTGAACTGGATGTTATGTCAGGGCTATGCTGTGCAGTGACCACACGAGGCAGGAATTTCCACTTGTGTATCGCACCTACTGCAACCGTTCGCACCAAGACCAATCTGCCTCCAAGGCCACAGCTGGCATTTAGAGATGTGGGGGAAACCTTTGGGATTGAGGTGTAACCGTCATAAGAATGTTTTACCCCGCCTGGTTTTCTCACCCATTCCCTTAAAAAAGGACCAATTACTCAGTTGATTATGTTCATGGTTTGTTGATTCACCTTTTTTATCTTCGTGTTTCTCAGAGTAAAATTCCTCACAGTATAGTAGGCGAGTACTTGAACACTCTTCTGAGTGACCAGAAAGTTCCCATACTCCTCACTGCCATCGGAAGGCCAGTACTGATCACATTTTCTCTGCAAAAGAAAAAGCGAAGATCCCAGTTCTTGTATTTCAAATGCTTAAGGTAAACATTGTTTTGGAAATTAGTAAGAGTCTGAGATAGTGGGAGGAATGAACTCTTCCCTCACTCTTCTAAATATTTTATTTTCTTTCTAAGTAATGGCAAATTATTTATAGAAGATACCAGGGATAGAATCAGAGAGCTGAAAAAGACAGAGATGATGCAGCTTAACCGTTTCCCTTTCAGATAAGGAAAGGGAAACCAGATGGATCAGGTTCGGACAGATCCAGGACTAGAATCTAGGTCCAGTGAATGAAAACCTACAGGCATTTAGCTGCATTGCTGATCACTGAGTCCAGCTTACTTTTTTTTCACACTATGAATGAATTTAATAGGTAGATAGCTTGCTTCAAAGTGAAATTTTGAAACTTTTTAATTTATAATGTTAATAGTTACTCTTTCATTATCATATTTACTAGAAAGGACTTCCAATTAGCTTTCATAACATTTGCTGTTTCCTGATGCTGCTCTGTTAAAACCGTTGTAAAGCACCTCTAATCAGTAGCTGAGGATGACATAACGATGACCTACATACCCTGCCTTTCTCCACGAGGTTTGTTATCATGACAATAACTTCCACGTTGTGCTCCCATATCATTCTCCAGAAATCTTCCGCTGTGGATTTCAGTGGACCTTGGGCAGCAATGTAAGCTTTCGGTCTGTTGTAGCCCTGAAGAAGTAAATGATAAATGTTTCTTACTACTTACATACTTCTTATGTGCCATCTTTAACAATACCACACTTAAGTTTTTAAGATCAGCTTTTTAAAAATTTACTTTATTTTATTTTTTTTTCAGAGACAGAGTTTTACTTTGTGGCCCTCAGTAGTGTGCTGTGGCATCACAGCTCACAGCAACCTCCAGCTCTTAGGCTTAGGTGATTCTCTTGCCTCAGCCTCCCAAGAAGCTGGGACTAAAGGCGCCCGCCAAAACGCCTGGCTATTTTTTGTTGCAGTTTGTCTGAGGCCAGGTTAGAACCTGCCATCCTCGGTATATGGGGCTGGCGCTCTACTCACTGAGCCACAGGCATCACCCTAAGTTCTGTTTTCTATAGAAGAAAACCATAAAAAATAAACTTATGAAATTGGAGAAACTTGGTAGTATTAGCAAGAATAGCAACTTTTTTTTTTTTTTTTTTTTTTTTTTGTGAGACAGAGTCTCACTCTGCTGCCCCAGGCTGGGGTGCTTTGGTGTCACAGCAGCCTCATACTCCTGGTTCAAGTGATCCTCAGCCTCCTGAGTAGCTGGGACTATAAGTGCCCACCACAATGCCCAGCTAACTTTTCTATTTTTGTCTTTCTTTTTTCTTGAGACAGAGTTTCACTATGTCACCCTTGGTAGAGTGCTGTGGCATCACAGCTCATAGCAACCTCAAACTCTTGGGCTTAAGTGATTCTCTTGCCTCAACCTCCCAAGTGGCTGGGACTACAGGCTCCCACCCCAATGCCTAGCTAGTTTTTGTTGTAGTTGTCATTGTTGTTTTTAGCAGGCCCAGGCTGGGTTCAAACCTGCCAGCCCCAGTGTATGTGGATGGCTCCCTAACCACTGAGTACAGGTGCTGAGCCAAGTCTCTTAACTCTTGAGTTCAAGAAATCCTCCCTCCAAGTCTCCCAGAGTACTCAGATTATAGGTATGAGCTAACATGCTTCACCTTGCTTACTGTTGATTTATATCTTTACTATCTATCAAAGAAACATAACAAATACTAATAGAGGTCTGATAGTATGGTTTGATAAATTCTGCATCTAATATAATTCATATAAATTTCACTTCAGGCTCAGCGCCTGTGGCTCAAGTGGCTAAGGTGCCAGACACATATACCTCAGGTGGCGGGTTTGAATCCAGCCCAGGCCCGCCAAACAACAATGACGCTGCAACCAAAAAATAGCCAGGCATTGTGGGCGCCTGTGGTCCCAGCTACTTGGAAGGCTGAGGCAGAAGACTCACTTGAGCCCAGGAGTTGGAGGTTGCTATGAGTTGTGATGATGCCACAGCACTCTACTCAGGGGGACAGCTTGAGGCTCTGTCTCAAAATAAATAAATAAATAAATAAATAAATTTCACTTCAAACATGCTTACGTCAACATAATTGGCATTGATGTAATCAGTCAGTTTGCCATCTTTTTCAGCAAGTTGTGCGAGCTTAACCCTGCTATGATCATCTGTAATAAAAAAAAATATGTCATTGTAGCACAGACTACTTCTCAGCATCAACATCATTTATATTTGCACAATACTTTATACAATACAATTGAAATCAAGGCAAAAAATCACTTACTTCAGTAGGTGTTTGGGGAATACAGGGATAACAAAGATTAAAAGGAATCTCTGCCCTCAGGAGAATTTCTAACATAACAGGTGTGACTAGGACACATACACAGAAAGTAACGGACAGATGTCAAGAAGGAAGTGCCAAGTAGTAGGGGGATCTGAAGGCAGAAGCTTTACTGCTTTGAGACGGTAAAAGTTTCCACAGAAATTGAAATCTGAAGTTGACTTCTTTGATGGGATTTCAAAGATGAATGCTGGGGCAGTGGAGAGCCACTTGAGGAGACACAGTAGTGATGGGACCTAGGACGCTCCTGTGAATGGTCACAGAGAACAACTCTTGCAGGAAGAGCCCAAAGAACAACCCTGAATTTCTGCAGAGGGAGGCAGAAGAACAGCCATCCAGGCACAGAGGAGGCTTCTGCGCTGTCAGGTCAGAGTGAATGGAAACTGTGGTACTTCAAACGTGTTGAAATAAAGGCTGCGGGATTAACTCTCCTCAGAGAGGTGATCATCATCTGGAGGAGATACACCATGAGAAAGGAAAGTGCTACTAGAAGGGACTTTGGTAGTTTTACTGAACAGACTTATTCATTCATTTTAAGGATGGAGAGGTGAATACAGACCAAACCATGGTGGCCAGGTTGAACTCTGTTTGTATTTTGGTTCTAATAGAACCAAATACAAAGTTAGAAATTTTTGTTTCATTTTTTTTCTCCTTTCTTTTCCCTCCTCCCTCCCTCCCTTTCTTCCTTCAGTTTCTTTCCTGACGGAGTCTTGCTCTGTTGACTGTGCCAAGAACTCAGCCTGGCACACAGAAACCTCAAACTCCTGGGCTCAAGTGAATCTCCTGGGTCAACTTCTCGAGTAGCTGGAACTACAGGCACCCAACACAATGTCCAGCCAATTTTTTAAAAATTTTTTTTTATTTTTAGTAGAGATGGAGGTCTTGCTTTTGCTCAGGCTGATCTGGAACTCCTGACCTCAAGCAATCCTCCCATCTCGGCCTCCCGGAGTGTTAGAATCACAAGCGTGAACTACCATGCCAGGTCTGTTTTATTTTTTTTTTTTCATCTGTAAAACAGGACTTCCATTACCAATCTGGTCCAGTTGTTGTGGAAATAAAATGAAATCATTTACTCCAAGTGCCTGGTGCTTAGTAGGTGCTCAACAAAAGACAACCTTCTTACCCTCCTTAATTACCCAATGGGCATTTTCTATTTAGCTTGTAGAGGGAAGTCTAACAACAATTTTATTCAGAAAGGCAAGGGGTTTTATGTGCAGCCAGACCAGCTGTTTTAGCAGAGGAAGGCAATCATAAAGCCCTCTGCTAAAGAATAAAAATTGATGTAACCTCTGTGCAAAGGAAAGCAACACCTATGTGAACGATTTAGGAGAGCATGGTGATAAAAGGGAGGAGATTGCCACACCGTAGGCTTCCCAAAATGGAACGGAACTGGAATTCAAATAACCTGGCTTATAAATAGATAGCTTGTAATAAACAACCATGCCATATGAAGCCGTGGGGGCATTGAATATAGGAGGAAGAATATAAGGATTTTTCTTGTGCTCTTACTTTCACAGGAACAATACTAAACTTAGAACTAGAGAGAGGATTAGCATGGCCCCTGTGCAAAGTTGACATATTTCGGGAAGTTTTCCATATTTTTCACACTTATAACTCTGAATCCAACTGTACAAAAAACAATTCACGTAATCACAATATTTGTACTGTTTTGATTTGATATTCTGAATGAATATTTATTCGGCAAAATCTGAAAGAAAGGAAGAAAAAACATTTTTTTTTGAGTGGGGAGAGAACATGAAGATGAATTCCAAGAGACGAAGAGGAGTACAGAGGAAAGAAGAGGGGACAAAAGTCACCAAAAGTGCTATAAGAAGGTGGAAAAAGTCACTGACATTGTAATGAAAAAGCCACCCAGGCTGCTCACTGAGCAGCAAGGGAGAGGGGGTGGCTAAGAAAACAAAGGGAAGGAAGGAATCAAAAAAGGAATCCATCAACTCTCTCTTTATTCTTGAACTTCAAAATATTAAGGGGGACAAATGTTTCTGTTACCTGGAGAACTTCTGTAATGCTTGAATGAGGGCTGTAAGTGTCCCTGTCACCCACACAGTGATCACTGTCCCCATTAGGTACCCACCAATTCCTTATAGAACCAGGAAGAATGTGAGGAAAGGAAGAAAGGAGGTAAAGGTAGAAGAAGAAAGAGAAAGTCTAAAGGGAACCTCCTCTGGTTAGTAAACTCACCTAAAAGGCGGGAGAATCGAAAGGAGAAAGGGGTCATAGAATAAAAATAGTGACAGAAATGAAAAGGGGAGATGGATACTGCTCAGGGCCTGTGGAAAGGACTGGACTGAAACACGAGTTTGTTTTGTTTAAAAGAAACAGATGTGATTAATTGCACAAGGTGCGTAAGTTAGAGTGATACAATGCTATGCGGCATCTTACACAAACGTTATTTCCTGGCATGAAGATGCGGGCACAGCCACACCAAGGTCTGCTGTCAGATGACTTCAGAGCACTGTGTGAAGGCACAACAATAACCAGGATAATAGCACTGAGTTAAGGAAATACTCACAGGCAACGATATTGATGTATCTGTTCTTGTGCTTGTTGTCCGGGTGGTTGGAGCTGTCTGCTGTAATACCTAAGTCAACAGTACAGCTCTGCACTTCCTGTAACAAATTGTATGGACATCATCTTAACACATGTTCTTTCATACAACGTACCTTAAAACAGTAAGAAAGACAATACAAACAAAATAATCTATGCAAACAACATTTTTTTTTTTACATGTTACAACTACTTCTTGGCTAAAATAAAATGCAGTGAAATGATGCCTTACCTGGTAAAACTCTTTCAGTGTCTAGTGAGGGAATGAATGCCAAAAAAGTAAAGAAATCAAATTCCACAGCACACGACAAATGAGAAAAAAAAGTGTTCATATTAGGTTTACAATGGAAAACTATGATCATGCAATAAATACATTTGTCAAATACTAACAGAACAGAAAGTTTCAAACAGTTGCATGCAAATCAAAATGTCTAACACTTGGAATCTTAAAATTATGTAAAAGAAGAAAATAATTTCTTTAAAAGGGAACAGTGATGTAATAATATGATTCTTTTAAAATGCAGATGAGAAGAACCACATATCCCATGACACATTCTGCCATAATAGGTGGACTTGCTAATCAAATATAATCTTATTTGAAACTCTGAGTTAGTGTTATATAAATTGTTTTCAGAGTTTGGAGTTCTTTTAACAAGTAAACAGCTTCCTATTGGGTGGTCTGTAACAGATTGAAGGCTGTCAAAAACACTAAATCATCTCCCAATTTTTTTTTATTATACATTCTACATAATTTTGAAACAAAATTTGGAGCATTACTTTCTATATTTTTAAATATTATAGTAGATCTTTTTTGTTTAATCTTCAATGGGTATAGAAAAATTATTTCTGTTGATTTTCTATTAAAAATGAATTAACAAGATCTTCAAAGATGTTTCTTATCTAAATATATTAGCTTAAAACTTATAATCACTTAGTATTAAGATAACAAAATAAAAGCCTTATAAATTCTGAGTAAGTATATAACCCCGATATAAATCTGATTCATCAGTAAATGTCCCAGACTCTCTCCAAATAAGCCTTTAAGGCTCTTTTGCAGCTAGCTAATCAGAACAACTAAAAAAAATTTAATACATAAGCCACTTGCATTATTAGTTATTAAGCTAATTATTAAGTTAATGAAAAGTTTTCTTCAGTCACTCTGCAAATTAAAGGCAATGGAATTAACTTGGATAAACTTTTTTGAGTAAAAATGTGAGCTTATTTTATTAATTTAATTATTACAAACTATTTAATAACACTTAAAATGATTTTATAATTATGAAAACCATTAAACTGCCTTTTAGCTTATATTGTCACCAACTTTTATTAGAAATTGTCCATTTTTTACTTATTTATCTTGTTAGAAGATACCCATCTTTGGCACAGTTTCCCTGTGATAATTATTATTTTGTTTACTGTTAGCCTGATAGTCTCTATCAGTGAACATTAAAGTTATACCACCAGTAACTTCTAGCTTATGGTAAGAACAAATAATTTAATATTTGAAGTATATAACTCTTCACATTACTCCACTTTACTTACTGTTACCTCAATTCACTTTCTTATTCAATGTAGCTATGATTTAGATGTTTTGTAGAATTAAATGAATTGGTTTCTATTATTTTTAATTTAGTAAAAACATATCCCTCCTCTATTCCTTTTGATTTCTGTAATGCTTCCTAATCTATGGTATTTTTCTTCCCTAATGATATCTTTATGGCTGTGACTCCTGGGAAGCAGTTGCTGAGTGCACCGGGGAGAGTGAATCAGGAGAGAGTGGATCCTGTGATTACGAGGGGAGCTAAAAGCACTTCAGAAAGGCAGGTCCCCTGAGCCCTTCGGGTTTGGGCAGAGGGAGGCAGGAAGGCAGCGCCATGCTTTCTAGAGGGAAGTTGCCAGAGGGAAGGATGAAGGTTGCCTGCTTGCAGCTATGATAGAAAGAGCATGAGTTTTAAAATTACAGACTTGGAGTTGAGTCCAGCTCTGCTATTTATCACCTCTGAATCAACTTTGAAGGAGTTTAATTTCATTAATAATAACATTTAGACAAATGATTACAAATAGCTCCCAGAGTTGAGTAGAGGTTGAACGTGAAAGTCTCTAGTTGAATGACATATCAGACGGTGCTCGTAGATGGTAGCTTTTATTTCTTGGTGGTTGTTATTGTTAACTTTGGGCTTTTGGCTCCCTATTTTGAAATATCTGCTTCACTGATAGGTCATTGGGCCATGATGAATTTGCAGAAAATTTTCCCTATAAGTACTTTAACAGGATATTACTGGAAAAATATTTTACTGATTATGAAGTTAAAATTTTCTTTAGAAATGCATATTCTCTTGAGAAAAGGATGTAATTTTTACCCTGCATAATAAAAAGGTTGTCTAAATATTTTACACTTACAATGGTATAAAACTTACAATGAAGCATTTGTATGCACTTGGGTTGAAAATAATGACATTTAGTAGTTTAATATAATTTATGTAATTTGGAAAATTTAAAAGACTCCTTGTTACTAATTCTGATTTTAAAAACTGGAGATCTGTATATTATGGGAGAGAATTCATATTGATATTGATATTGATATTGAACTATTGTACTGTATTGTATTGATATCTCAGTAGTACAAGTTGGCTTTTAAAATAGAAAACCAATTTTCTAAATTATATGACAACTATGACACATATCCTAGACACACAAGTAATTATGAAACTAATATTCTTCCTAGACGTAAAAATGGTCCCAGTGTCTTTATGATAAGAAATAGCCTACTGCTGAATTATTCACATGTACTATTTTATAATATTTACAACAGACATGCTAAAATCATACCTCAAATTCTTCAGTAAACCCATTACTTGCATGTAAGTCTGCAACATGCTTGGGAAAGTGCTTTATTGGAATTGCTCCAACATCATCTAAGTGAATACAAAAACTGTGTTAAATTAATTCAACAGAAACAAATGTGCCTTTCCTTCCCATAAAGAAAATAATTTATTTTCAACCTTAATGTATAAATACCACCAAAACCTCATTTTTTATTAATGGATTGCAAATTTTATGGACAACTTTCTTTAACATGAGCGGGGGTTCCAAGCAATTTCTAGGAAAAAAAAATGTTGAAATAATATATTTTCAATTTACTGTGAACTAAATATATAGTGAAACTTCAGTTTTATAAAATGGCACAGTTTAATGTCTTATAGTCAAATAGTCAGATATTTACATTTGAAAACATTTTTTTCCATGTCCCTATAAATAATAAAAAAACATTTATATGCAAAATATTCATTGAGAAGAATGTCACAAGCCTTTGGGACTTCTAATCTGTAAAATTTCAAGAATTCTAACTTGAAAATACACTATGTAAACAAAGTCATTGGATCTGTTAATTAATTGTGAAGGGGCCAAATTATTTTAACTGGCTCCAATTTTTTTTTTCTTTTCCTGAAAAGACTTTCTTAGATTAAACATGTTACTAGTTCACAGTACGCGATTTCACAAGTGATTTCTCTGACAAGGAAACATCAAAGACATTTCACTAGAAACAGTTATTTATATCAACAGATGTTCAGCGTTTAAGCCATCTAATATTTTTAAGCTTCAGTTACCAAGAATTTTTTGAATAAAAAAAAACACTGAATCCATCTGTTCTCTCTCTTAGATGAGTGGACCTGAATACTAAAATTGAATTAGTCAGTCAAGCTTAAGAAATGACAAAGGTGTAATTCTACCTTCGCACCTACAGAAGTATCTTGCCTGGAAGTAGCTTTTATAATTAGAAAAGAAAACAGAAATAATTTATCACACTTAAATCATTAGTTCTAGCAAATGTCCTTCAAATTTGTTGATAGTTTCTGGCACAGCCAACCTCCTCTCATAAGCAGACTGTTACTTTTCCTTGAGAGTCAGGTATTTTGGTATTTCTTTGATTAACTGATCTGCAAGTAAGTGAGACTTGCATATCTTTTCATTTTCTGATTTTACATAAAGACATACATATTCAGGTAATCAAAAGTGAATCTTTATGAGCCATCCAAGTAAAATAGGAGATGCCCTTCACCATGGCTGCTTTGACATTTAGTGTGGGGGAGTTTGTATTTCTTGAGCAAGATCCTGACTTTGGTAATAATAAATTATACTGGAATTGGATAATGTTTGAGCTAATATGCATACCCATGCTAATGGATATGTAAAAGAAATATGCTGGAAGTGAAAGGAATCAAAACATAACAGACAACTGAGAGCTGTTCAGATCAAAATTCTAAATATGGTTTTATTTTGTTTTTGAGACAGACTCTCACTCTGTTGCCCTAGGTAGAGTGCCCTGGTGTCATAGCTCACAGCAACCTCAAATTCTTGGGCTCAAGAGATCCTATTGTCTCAGCCTCCCGGGTAGGTGTGACTACAGGCATGCACCAGCACGCCTGGCTAGTTTTTCTATTTTTAGTAGAGACAAGGTCTTGCTGTTGCTCAGACTGGTCTCAAACCCCTGAGCTCAAGCAATCCACCTGCCTCAGCCTTCCAAAGGGTTAGGGTTACAGGCATGAGCCACCACACCTGGCTCAAAATTCTAAATATGTTAATGAGAAATCATAGTATGTTAAAATAGTATATATATAATATTTTAATATAAACTAGAAAAGCAGAACTAAAACAGATAGTTTTAAGACATAGAGAAGATAAAAGAGGAAAAACAGTAAAACACTCTTAAATCCTCATCTTTATAAAGCATAAAAATATATCTTAATATATATTAGTATAAATGTATAAAAATGTACATAAATATGTAAATGTAAAGAAAAAAATGCTTCGAATTTTTCATGTCATGAGATTTCAGCAGATAATATTATATAAAACTTGGGCCTCTGGTAATAACATATGGAGTATCAATCAGACAGTTGCAGGGGTCCTCAAACTTTTAAACAGGGGGCCAATTCACTGTCCCTCAGACTGGCAGCCGCAGCAAAAACACCTGGCGGGCTAGATAAATGTCCTAGGCGGGCTTCATGTGGCCCGCGGGCTGTAGTTTGAGGATGCCTTGACTTTAAAGTGACTTAAAACCACCACATAGATGAATTTCTTCTTTTGTATCTCTAATGTGATAACTTTTATTGCCCATCCGATCCTCTGTACCCCAGTTCATACACTTCTAGAAAAATCCTTTTTTGTCTCCACTTTACATTCTGAGATGTTATAAAATATTAATTAAAGAAGTGTCTATAACCTTATATTGTGAACTCTAGGATCAGAGGGTGTCTCAATCCACCAGCTAATATTTGAATATTGCTATTATACAGGTAAATTCTGATAAAAGTGGCCAAAGTTTTCCCAAATAATCAACTATTCCAACATTTGAGACAAAGCATTTCAAGTAATCATACATTGTGTTATGATTTTTTTCGACATTACCACCATTCATAGTTTTTTTTCTAATGCAGTCAACAAACCTTTTCTCACATAAGCTCAAATGATCAGAAAGGAACTAGACTTTATTCTTATTTTTGTCTTTTTCTCCTCCTTACATTTATTGCATTGATTTAGTCTGATTTTCGTTGCTTAGATTTCCACTAAAGTTATGAAAATGAGTAAAATCGTTATTCTTAACTAACATTTTATTGCTATAAATGTTTGACATAAATCATGAATTAGTATTTCAACATACCATCTGAATAGTTAAGAATGTTTAAAATTAATAAGAATAGGATATAAACCCAGGTGTCTGATACATGATGTACTAAACATTTTATGCCCACAAACATGTACTAATCTATATTACAGTCATTTGCAAAATACTCCAATAGAAGAAAACCTTCTAGCAACCTGCTTCTCATCAGTATCTACCAGTAGCTACTCAGGGTCATACTTGTAAGCTATTACCTGAAATTGGAAAAATAGGTGTTGGAGGTGTGGATATTACTCGAGGGGACGTGCTGTCCTCTAAATAAAAATGTGCAGTCTGGAAGCACTTCCTGAAAGAAAAAAAAAAAGCAATTTATGCCCCTGGCTGCCATGGATAATAAGACAACTTCTGAGCTGCTTGAAAATTAAGATGGAAATCTCCAGAATCAAGGCAAAAGAAGGTGTATGCTGAGATCTACAATACATCAGTTTGAAAAATCACAAGCATTTTATGGTTTCCAAGTTTATCTCAGTTTCCCTGTACTAGGTAGAGAAGAGCACACCAATTATCAGACATACTGAAAACAGAGATGGCATTGGAGTTGTAGCTCGTTCAAACTATCAGATAGGACGTCACTTAGATAGGAAATCTCAAAGCCCTGGAGGTGCCCCGTGGCGATATACCAAAGTGCCCTGCCACCTTGGACAGGACCAGAGTGAAAAGAAATAGTGTCCAAAGCTATTTTTATTCAACATTTAAGAATGTCTTTCTGGGCATGTTCAGCTGCTAGCAAAAGGCAGCAAGCTGACTATGTAGCAATGAAATTCCAACAGTGGTACAGTTTGATGAAAAAATAAGGCAGCTTTATACTATAAATATGATATTACAGCAGTGACTGAACTTAAATGAGGAAATAATGAGCATACAATAAAAAAAGGGGTGATTTTCTTTCTAGCAGATGCTAGCCTTGTTGATGAAGGTTTGGAGAATGAATATATTTGGAATCAATGACAACTATGACCTCCGTGTTACCTGGATCTATTTTCACTCGGATCATAAGAGTAACATCTGGTAAGAGCACTTTACAAAGTACAGAGAAGAGTAAAGAATCAACTACTGCTATAAAGTCAGGCAAACCACCCTTAATTTTAAAAATTTAGATAATTAAAACTGCAAAGACATTCTTTGATGTGGTTCATTTAATTTATTTGAAGTATTACCCACGAGTGGTTAACCTGAAACAGAAATATCTGTTTGAATGTAAATGCCAATCTCACTTTGCATTTCAAACCTTCAAGCTCCCAGCCAGCTCCTAATGAGCCTTAACAAGACATTCGTGCTCACACGGTCATACACCTACATGTCTTTTCCCCAGTAAATCAGTTCCCTAGATAAAATTCTTGAGTGGCTTCCTGCTGCAATCAGAATAATATCCAATTATTTGAGCAAGGGCTCTACTACCCTCTGTGACCTGGCCCCTCCCTACTTCAGTATCTTGGACGCCTACAACTCTCTCCCTCATCCACGGTCCTTCAGCCCACACGGTTCCTCTCGGTCTCCCTCACAGAAGCCCTGTCAGTGCCACTGCAGAATCTTGGCTCTGGCCATTCATTCCCTCTGCCTGCCTGTCTTCTTCCCATCATTTCTAAATTAGCCCAAAGGTCACCTTGTCTGAGACCCCTCCCTTCACTGTGATAGCTAAAAGCAGCAGTTCTTCCCACAAAGTCGCTATCCTTTGCTCTTCTGTGCCAGGTACTATCTGAAATGTGGTTATTTAAGCTTTCATTTTACATAGTCATAGTTGGTCCTCTCTTATCGGAACATAGCAAAACAAGGCAAATACCTTAATCACTGCAGTGCTAGTCCTCAGTGCTAAGAGGTCATTTGCCATGCTGTAAGGTAGCAGCAAAGATTTTTTTTTTTAAGGAATAAACTGGTCTAAGTAGGAGTAGTATAAAATTACATAGTTTGTTTATAACTTTAATATCACAAACAAAACAACACTAAAGCAATGATGTACACAGCAAAAAGTAACTTTCTGCTGTGACCGTGTAAGCCTTGACAGCCAACCCTGAGAGAATGACTACTGAGAGAACACAGGCACATTTTCAAGAAACAAAAGGAGGAAGGTGAGTGGACATAGAATCGAGTTCCAAAGGGACCCTCGAAAGTGGAAAGAATGTGGCCGATTTATAAGGAAGGGGAGATGTGAAGGTCGCAGGTCCCATGGTAAAGAAATTATCTTATCTAAGGTTCCCATGAGCAGAATTGAAACCAGACTGAAGCAGAAACTATGAGGAGAGTTTGGATCATCTCTGCAACCCAGGATGTGGAATGTTCTGACACATTGCTATGTAAACCTTGGACTCTTATGTGCTTTTGAGATAACAGAATTAAAATGCCTTTAATTTCTTTAAAATATAGTTACACAAACTGGTGACAGGTTTAAAAAAATTTTTCACAGACTCTTAGAGTTAGAAAATGCCTTAAAGGAGCTAGTACAATATCACAGCTGATAGAAGAATCCGACATAAAGTTAAGAAGGTCCTGTTTTTTTACCCTCAGTGAGAAAGAGCTCAAAGAAAGAGCTCACTCCTTATGAGAGACTAGCTGGACAGATGGATGGGTAGATGCTGTACTGATACTCTGACTGGAGGGCAAAAAGGCAGCATTTCATAGACTATAAAAAAGCAAGTTGTTTTTTGAGCTTATTGGATTACTTATTTTCTAAAATCAACAAAGCTTTGACCACATAGTTGAGAAGAGTAGAGTTGTTATTGACCCAGATACTACAATGAATATTAGCAATTAGGTTTTACATTGGCACTGAGGGTGAATGTGTTGCTAAGTCTTTGTTTATTTTAGAAAATAGTTAGTCCAACAATGTCATTTGGCATTTATTTCCAAAAACGGAGCCTAGAATTAATACCAAAAAAGGCTTATGAGAAAATTAAAATATTATAGGTTAAATTATGGATAAATGTCATCTGTATATTGCTTAGGTATATTTTATAGTGAAGTCTTACATAGGAAATAATATTCTACTTAAAAGGCAGTCTGGTACATGAAGGTCTCCATTCTGGGTTGGTAGCTTTCTTCAATGAACCATAAATTTGAATTTAAGATCAAAAGAGAATTCATATTGCATTTCATCTCACTCATCTTGGCCGAAACAATCATATCTATGTAAAGTTCTTCTCTATACTGCTTTTGAAACTGTGATTTTGCTAAATATAATTTTGGCCTTTTGGGGGTTCCAACTCTTTAAAAAAGCTCTCAAAAACTTCTCCCGTTTTTTTGTTTGTTTGTTTAAGAAGAACTATTCAAAAATCTTCCTTGTTGAAGTCATTTTGCATCTTAGAAAGTTAGTTTGGCTCATGTAAATTATACCTTAAAAACATCTGGAAAATGATTTCAAGGCATATTATTTAATGTATGACAAGATTCACTACCTATAGTCCATCTGTTCAGTATAAGCAGTGAATGTCTTCACGTCTATGTGCTAAGTGTTGATAACTATGTCTCCTGCTAATTATCACTCAGCTATGATGAAAAAGTGATGACTGTTTTAAACTTGTAGACATAGGTCCTATCAATCAATGGTAATCTGATTATTTAATTTACACCTTTTCATCACAGTAAGTATTTAGAATTAAAAGCTAGAAATGTGTATCTTTCCATTCTTCAGTATGTTTATACAGAAATGAAACAAGATTTAGCATGCTGCATTCCTTCCTGGAACCCCTAAAGAAGGTCTTACTGTAACCTCAAAGATGATCTAGTGAACCCCTCAGAATGATAAACAGAGGAAATTAATTCCTAGGTGGGTAAGTGACATGTTCAAGGCAAGACTGGTTAAGAGACCTCCATGTTATCACCTGTCATTTGTTCATTAAAACATGCTTCTCAAGTTTTATATAAAAATGGGGGAGCAGGTTGAGTTAGGTCAAAATCAGACAAAATCCTTCTTAAAGGGATTATTTTTTCCCTAAAAAATTAGGCTAGAAAAATATTTAAATATTTTCTTCAAAGAATTTTATAATTTTAGTTCTTAAACTTAAGTCTATGGTCCCCTTTGAGTATATTTTTGTGCAGAGGGTGAAAAAAAGGTTCAATTTGATTTTTTGTATATGGATTTCCCCTGCTCCAATGCCATTTGTCAAAAGGACTATTGTTTGCGTGTTGAAAGGTCTTGGGACTCCCATCTAAAATCTATTGACTGTAAATGTAAGAGCTTATTTCTGGACTTTGAATTCCATTCCATTGATCTATATGTCTATTCTATGCCAGTAATAGACTGTCTGGATTATTGTAGCTTTGTAATAAGTTTTGCAATTAAGACGTGTGAGTCCTTCAACTTTGTTACATATTTAAATGAAAATCTAGAAATTAGTTCTTGTGGTCTTGGGTTTGACAAAGCCTTTTTACATATGATACGAAAAATTAAAAATACAGGCACCAAGAGGAAACAGATGAGTTAGACTCCATCACAATGAAAAACTACTGTACTTTAAAAGAGATACCATCAAAAAAGTGAGAAGACAACTCACAGGATAGAAGAAAATAATTGCAAATTAGATATCCAATAAAAGACTTGCATCCAGAACATGCAAAATACACTTTCAACTCAATACTGAAAAGACAACCCAATTAAAGATAGGCAGCAAAGGATTTAAACACATTTCTGGAAAAAAAAAATACAAATGCCCAGTAGCACATAAAAAATACTCAACATCATTAGTCATTAGGGAAATACTAAAATGCATTAAAAATAACTGAATCATTTACTTCAGATAAGCAAATTTTATGATATATTAATATTATTCAAATGAAGCTATTTTATAAAAATGTTTAAATATATACATCAACTTGGAAAAACTCATAAGGACTATGTTACTCTTAGTACTGTTATTGTTTATGACATTAGATTTTAAACCTTTCCACAGGCTATAACTTTCAGAAAGGTCTAAAATGTTTCATATTTGATAGTGAAATCATGGCATTTACAATGCACCTACACTAAAATTTGAATAGTTTATAGAAACCTTAAAAATGCATTAAAATTATGCATTATGATTCATCACACAATACCCTTCACTGTACTGTGATGTAAAAGTTACATTTTATGGTAAATTAACTTAAACACAAGAAGATGAGTAGGACAGATATTCAACACTATTTAACATTTTTAAATGGGTGAGTATAGAGTAATTAATTTTATCAGAACATTTAACAAATATAAAACATTTAATAATATTAAAATATAATATGTAATAGATATTAAGTATTAACATAACACCATTAAAGTACTCATATTTTAAACTGCTACACTCTGTATTCAAGGTACATAAAGTGTTGTGTGTGAGGCAAAGAGAACCATTTTACTGAAGGTCAAATTAGTTTTCAACTGGTAATTTTATCTTTTTCCCCACATAAAACAGATAAAATGACCCCTTACACACAAAAGATAAAAACCACTCCAGATTTTAATTTTCCATGAAATATCAAATCATACTAAATGAGGTGCTGATTTTTAAATTTCTAAAAACTATACTTCTATATATTTACTCTAAAAGTAACAGAGATTATGAATCTTTCTAATTATTTCAGTCTTATAATGATAGAGCATATGATATCTTTATTGGACGTTTATACCAGCACAATTTATGATGAGGTAGAATTTGGTTGCATTTTCCATTTTATTTTCAATTTATTTAACATTGATTCCTATTAATTTAAAAATAAATTTGGCAGAGAAAATCAGATCAGACAGAACTAGTCCTCTGAACAAACGTAACATCAATGTGGTAAAGAATCTGGTCAACAAGTTCAGTGGGGACCGGAGAGAAAAGCAATACGAATTCTTGTTTAACAAACATTTGTGGATTATGAACTATGCTCAGAGCCTTCTGCTGAGGATGGACTCTTCTGTAAAAAAATCATTAGTAATTATAGGCATCAATAGGGAGCAGACTGAGGAAAGCGGGTTTGTTTGCATCTTGTTATGGAAAAAAAAAAAAAAAACGGACTCCTAACAGACACAGGGTAACAAAAGCACGATCTGTAGTCTACTCTGTTTTGTAAGGAATGTGAAATATGAAATACTGAACTGAAAACAGTCTACCTTAGCCAACCAATGTCCAAAGACATGCAACTACATGCTCCAAACCTTAGCATCTCCGACTCCTCGAGCTCATTTCCACTTCCCCTCTTTCCATCTGTGCCCCTGCCTGGGATGTTCCTTCCCTTTAACTCTCCTTTCTGAATCCTGTGCAGCTCAGACCCTGTGTTTGATCCGACATTGAACCTGTGTAGTTTGGCCAATCAAGCTCCCTTGTTCTCTGACCTCTCTTAGCATTAGATTTCAGCTGCTATGCACATACTTTTGTGTAACATTTTATACATTTTAATGAAAAACTGTCTCTTCCCAATAAGCACATATTTCTGGAAAGCAAATGTCTCTCACCTATTCATTTAATGATTACTATTTTCCAACTGTAGCTAATACAGTACTAGGTACAGGGCAAAGTCAATAAGTAAGAGTAAATATTTTAGAATAAACTGAGAGAATACGTTTTGGAAGAACACATAGAGAGTGGTGTGATAAACTTATAGACTAATGTTGCTAAACAAGAAGGAATTAATTAGAGATCTGAATAAAATTCTCTTTTAAAATAAAGTGTAAGTCCTTAAGCTATGCCCTTTCTCAGTTTACAGATATGATTCCTTTATCATCCTAAGTCCTTGTTTTCCAGCAGACAAGGTTATGCTGACTTATAATATGTCCCTAGTAAATTTGCTACTTTCCTGTGTGTTCTGCTTGCTACACAATGAGAAGCTTATGACGGATGCTATTAGCCTTGTCCTTTAAAGCTTTTAATAGATTATTGATGAGAATGAAGCTATATTTCATCCTCAAAGCATATTATAAATGATTTTAAAAGCCTATGCTTCTTAATATAGTCACTTACTTTATTCCCTAATTACATCTATATTTTAATTGCTTGATTTTGACTTTTACGCATGAGTTATCATTTTAATCAGTATGCACAGCTGATGTGCATGTGCATCTTGTACAAACCCTTCTGTTATTAAAAAGTGATTTCTTTTTTTACTATATCAAAAGTTCTATTTTCCTAAATAATGTTTGGAATTATAACACCTGGTAAGAAGCTTAGATTTCTGTTCAATGTTATGATGATGCTTGATTAATTAGATTAACACACAAGTGCAACTGTCAAAATTATGTATTAAACTGTATCTGAAGTAAAAGTTACTCCAATTTACCTTTAATTTATTGAAACAGGAATACCGATCAACTCTTTTATTACTGTTTTTGGATTCACAAATTCCCCCTGAATTCATAGTTACTGGAATAAATTGATGGAAACTCTTAAGTAAAATAAAATTTGACTATGCTCTGAAGACCTTTCAGATGAAATATGGGCAAAATCTGAGCTTTATGAATTAAATTTTCCAAAAAAAACCCCACTCAACTTACCTCCAGTAGATGAGAATACCCACAAGAACCACTAGACAGATAAAAGTCAGGGCTGACACGATCACAAGGGGTATAACTGCCTTCTTCTCGGATTCCAACCCCTCAGCTAGACCAATACGAGACTCATGGCTACTATTACTGGCCTCTGTAGTCGGAGAGAATTGAGAGAGTTGGTATTTAAGCTGAAGGAAAAGTCACAACACTTTCAACTGATCATTGCAACCTTCATTGCTGTTACTTACCTTTAAAATGTTGTCTCTACGATGCCAATAACATCTATGATTATAAGCCAATTTAAATAAAACCAAGTTTAAAAAGTAAGCCAGACTATTAGAGCTGAAGAACAATAATATTCCAACTGAGATTCGGACCAGGATGGGGTGCCTTGGCAAAAGAAATGTAACACTGTCTTTAAAAGCTTGCTATAAGGGAAATAGAGGTATCAAAATAAGAAAACTACCCAGTTTTTAATTTAAACGATAAGGAAAAATAATGCTACTCACTCAATAATCCTATACAGAATCTTAATTTGTAAAAATTAATTGTAGTGGAATGATTTTGAACCCCTCATTAGGTAAATAATTAGAAGCAATCAATAATTGTATACAGAAAATAATCTTAAGATAACACTTCCTATATAAAGATAATTTTTCAATCCAGCAAACTATTTCAATTTAAAATGTACATTGGTCTTAAAAGTTACTTTGAAAACTTGAAAAACCCATTATTTTTTTCCTTAAAAAATAAAAATACTATTGCATATGAATTAAAGGAATAAATAAATCTAAGAAATTCTTTTCACATATGCAAATGTAAATAATGAAAAAGTCCAAATTTGGTCTTTGGAATAATTTTAAAAGATGGCAATGACTACTTTTATGGCCAGTAAGGTACATTACTGTACCACAACCTTGAAAGTCCAAGTGTAGATATTCTTCCAAATTATAGAGCTACGTTGGTGGCCAGTGATAATCATTTTCCTTTGCTTTGAGGTGTGTTCAGTAGGAAACCAAGATGATTGAGCATGAAGACTGTCTCTACCCTGCTGATATGCTGATGCGGCCTTATTTTGTCTAGCTAGTTCTGAAAGAAGTCAATTTAAGTTCTTTATCAAAGTCTACATTTGGTACTTGCCACACATTAGGTACTTTCGATGCTTTTATACCAAGTATCTTACAATTACTAATGTGAGACAGAGGGAATTAATTTAATTTTGAATATTTTAGAAATTTGAAACTAATATGCATGCATCTGTGTAGCATTAAAATATATCCAATTGGAGAGAACTAAAGAGTTTAAATTTCTTTTGTGACCAAGGATGATGGCAGAAAGGGCCAAGAAGTTAACCCACTGATGCAGGAAATAGATCATAGGTATATAACTGGTACACAACATTTCCCAAGATGTTCTTGTAATTATAGATGCATTTTCTAGAAAAAAAGGGAAAAATTTGTGGGAGTGACTAAAAATCATAAAATGTATGAAAAGTGAAAATATTTTCTAAGTCAACTGACCATTGAGTTGTATGTAGCTAATGTTCTTATGAGAAAAGGCTAAGCATTAATTGCTATGTCGGTCCTATGCTCTGGTCATTATGTATGGGGTGGAGACTCATTTAGACACCTAAATAACCTGAAGGGGAATGCATTACAAATTTCCTTAGGAAATTTAGGAAAACACCTTAGTTGTCTTTACATTTTTCCTATTGTAACTATTGTTACCTAAATAGAAAGAAAGTTTGTGGGTAATAAACAATTCACTTAGCAAAGTCCGTGGTACCTCACACAGTACATTTGGAAATTGATACTGTTATCTGAATCAGTCATTCTTGAAGTGTGGTCCTTGGAATACAGGCATCTATATCATCCATCACTTATTCAAAATGCAAATTTTGGACTCCACCCAAACGACACCAAATCTTCTGAATCAGAAGTTTTATGGTGAAGGCTCAGCAATCCATATTTTGATAAATCCTCCTTATGATTTTGATGCATGTTTGAGAACCAATGGTATACATGAATGCAGGTACAAAGTAAGCTTATATAATTACACAGGTTCTTAATGGCCACACATATTCATAGCAATATGTGTACGAGTGAATATATAAAGATAAATACATATCATTTATATAGACGTATATGCATACATATATGTGTCTAGTCATATATGTGACATATATGTAAGATATATAATGCATATTATACAATATACACCATATATACATATTTACACACATGCATTATATACAAACATGCACACACACAAAGTCTTGTAGGTTGTTTTTCTCCTATGTTTTCTGGGATATCTAATCTTAAATCTTTAATTAAGGAATTATAGTAATACATCTATAGTAAATATGAATCATAAAACCTAGCTCTTTTATACAAGATGGGATACCACATGAAAGTACAATCAGTTGACTGCTTTGTATACTATAAGGAGGAACAACTAGTCGCCTTGATCTTATTTTCATTTAATTGAGACTAAAATATCTTTTTGATATGGCTTACTAGTGTTAATGAGTTACTTAAATAAGACAATAACCTACTAATGTAATTAACAATAAAGAACCAATATTAATATTTTGAAATGTTTTGAGAATAGTATAATTTGGTATTACAATTTAAGCATTACATATTTTTTTTATTGTCCCCAATCATAAAAAAGAGACAGACACAATAGTATATTCCAGGTGACCTGATCAAGTAACCTAATATTTTTGGTTTACTCATAAATAAACTGCAAATACTAATATTGCCTTGCCTATATTATTTTGAGCAACACATCTTGTAAGTAACTCTATATTCTAGAGATACACCAAAAAATTGTAAGTTTCAGAATTAATCTGTATACATTTAATAAAGGGGCATAGTTCATTATTGGACATGACTGACAGTGTATGATATCTCTATAAACAAAGTTTTAAAAATAGTTAAGAATTTTCCTCTAATCTCGCTTGATTTTATTTACTTCATTAATTGTTACTTGTTGAGGCCAGAAGTTATATTCATGTTGTTTTATCCTCATTAATGAGGGAGCATATTCTTAATAATTGAATAAATCTAATTAGTGCATTGAAGAGAAACTTTGTAAGTTTTAGCCAATAATTCTAGGATTAGCATTTGGTTATATGGATAGCCTTTCGATAATGGCAGCATCTAGCAAGAACATATCAATGCCACCACCTAGGAAGACAGAAAAATGAATGCCACCACCTAGGAAGACAGAAAAATGGATGACCTTCTGATATTTTCATTTAACATGTATCCATTTAAAAAATTAAAAAAGCAATTCCCATAATTGGGGGCAGATAACAATTCCTATATATGACAACGCTAATGAATATAGTGACCTACGGATTCATTATTCATTCTTGAATGTCAGTATTTAAATGCTTAATCTGAAATGCAATATTAAACAGGTAAGAATACAGAAAAACTTCTCCATTAAAATGTACAAACTTTTAATTGCTGCTGTACTGAGGAAAAATATACAAGTAGAGAAATGAAATAATGAAGAGGAAAAATCTTCCAATGAGATTGATGTCTATGTTCTGGATTATAAATATTCACAATTAGGTGTCTTTCGTGACGTTAGCCTATCTTTTGACGTCTAGTGTTTCTAAGATTTAAACATGTTTAGTTCTAATTGTTTTAAAAGCTTAAAATTTAATAAAAGCCAATTATAAAATTGTTATGATAAGTTCAGTTAAATCATCTACTATGTAATGTGTACTGGAGTTGAACTTCCCTTTTCTTTTCATTGGCATTTAAAACAGACATCTGTATTATACATGCTGCAAGTAATCTGTTCTAGGAAACATCTGGCCAATAAGCTAATCTGCATAAAATACATTAACAAATGAAATACCCTTCTACAGAAAATGTTCTAGTGTTTTACCTCTTGTCATAAAATACCTGTACATACTCTGCATATTAATGCTCATTATTTAACTTAGAAATGTGTATAACAGGAAGCATAAAGCAATGTATTTTGTTGGTTCACACTGCCCTCTTTAGGCAATATTAAGGTAATAGAAGAAAGAATTTTAAAAAACTAAAATATTTTCCTAATCTCATCACTAGCCCTCAAAATTTAGTAATTGAACTTTTCTTTTATAGCTCCCCCAAGCTGATGGGGGTGTGTGTGTCCTTTCTATGGAGTGTGTTGGAGAGATAGGTGCTTATATCATAACATTTTATTAATTTTTATTTTTATTTTATTTTATTTTGACCAGGGTGAGGTTTGAACTCGCCACCTCTGGTATATGGGGCTGGCACCCTACTCCTTTGAGCCACAGGTGCCGTCCATCATAACATATTTTATAATGCATTTTATAACTTAATAGAAATAGTTTATAATTTATTTTAGAGCACAAATAAGTATGAAAATTAAAATCATCTAAAAATAGCACACTCTGATCTTATTTAAAAAGCAGTATGCTAAAAATGTATTATGCACATATAACAGGCATCACATAGAATATGAAATATTAATAAAAATTATTGTATCTATTTTGGAGATAATTAAATAATGACAAATACTTATTGAATAATCATTAGAAATACTGAATAAAACCATACTTAAAAAAACTGTAAACTGATTTATTGATTTAAAATAAAAAGATGATAAATGCCTGAGGTAAAGGATACCCCAATTACCCCCATTTGATTAATTCACTTTGTATATGCCTGTATCAAAACATCATATGTACCGTATGTATAGTAGATATACAACTACTATATAACCCAAATAATTAAAAACTTAAACAATTTTTTAAAAATTTCTACCTTTTCATTTAAAAAATGTCTACCTTTTCATAATTTTTTTATTTTCCTTTTAAAGCAAGAAAACCACCAAGTCTTGATCTATCTTTTGATCCATAACTAACCTGCCTCTGAAACGTTGAACACTTCTGAGTGTCTGCTAGTAACAGACGGTGTCGGGGACCTTGAGGATCCAGGAGTTATTTCTGAGTCGCCTGCTTCCAGGACCCCGTTAGCATCTCTTTCATTAGTGTCTGGAAAACTGAAATCTGTAGAAGTCTCATTATCGTTAAGGCTATCTGAGGTACCTTGCCCTGATCCACTTTCTTCATCACTCGTCAGAACTGCCCATGCTTTAGAGTCAGGGGTGAAAGGAAGCAAAGCACTACCAATCTGAATGTCATTTTCCTCTTTTTCATCACTCTGCTTTGGAGAGAGCCCATATGTTGGTGGTGATTTCTCAGGACTTATGTCCTTACCAGTTTGACTGTCTGAGGTTACCCCTGTGTCTCTATTTTCATCTTCAAAATTCTCAGACAGTGAATATGAGATCGGGGTATTCTGATCCACACGACTGTCTTCCTGGGCCTCTGAATCCTCTGTTACCTTTTCCTGTGATTCTCTATAGGAGGAGCATGACATACACTTATTTATGGATAAGCCATCACTATCTCTGTCATCACCACCATCATCATCATCATCATCAGTGTCACCATCACCCAGTAAATCGGCATCAAATCTGGCACTATGCGTCAGCTTAGAAGTTGCTTTGGAAGTAAAAACCAACTTGGTGGTGGTGACATCTCTGTTGGGAGAAACAGCTGTCATGGAAACATACCCATTTCCTAAAGGAACAGAATGATCAGCAGCTACAAATGTATCAGAAACAACTGGTGGAATACCAGCAAACACCTCATCAGTAAGAGAACTTTTGGTGGAGGTGAAAATCTCATCAGAATCTACGACCTGATTTATTAGTGTGTTTAGTGGTTCATCGAGTGATAAAGTAGGGGTAGCAAAGGCACGCCCTCCTTTTGAGGGATAGGCCGGGTTAATCTCCAAATTGGCAGTGTGGTACAATGCATCGTTACTGTACAAAGAAGGGAGCACTTGCTGGGAACTTTTGCTTTTCAATAAAACTGGTTCGGAATATTTCTCACTTGTGTAAGAAACGGTTAAACCTTGATGTGAAGCAGAGTGCATATTAGAAGTAGGAGACATATCAAAAGCTGGTGCAGATGGAGAGCGCAGCCTGTTGTCATTGGAAGCAGAATTTGATACCATGGGATGAAACACTGGAGAACTAATTTTATCAACCTTGGGGGTTTCAACCAATACTGGGTCACTAGGCACAGCTGGAAGAACCGTTTTAAGCAAAGTATCAACAACAGAAGCCTGAAAGGAAGGTTGCAGCAATGCTTCAGTATTAAAGGAAGCTGAGGTCTCATAAAATAAGAGCTGAGTTGAAGGAGATAACATTTCACTAGAAGCAGGGTCAGAGGATGCTGGCTCTGAGTTTGCACTAAGCACAGGTCTAAGCGAAGTGTCACCAAATGCTTGAGATACAATATGTGTAGGTTGAACTGAAAGGTTATTTTCTGATACTTGACTAATCTCATGATCAAAAACATTAGTGTTGGTATAAGCAAGAGACCCTGGAAACATGCCCTTTGTGCTAGAAATGGAAACAGAGGTTTCTTGCAAAGAGGCATACAACTTAGTTACATTATCAGACACGTTGGGCATGACTGTGCTTTCAGAATGGTAAACCATCTCATTGAAAGAAGAAATTTGCAGTTCAGTCTCATTTCCATCTGTTATTTCACTTTTAGAAAGCGGATTATTATCATCACCAAACACAGATGTTGAATATGTAAATTCAGCCACAGAAACAGGCGAAGAAATGTTAAGGGCTGGCAGCCCATCTGTGTCAGGTAAGAGAAATTCACTATCAGAGGAGGCTCCAGACCACTCTCCATCACCGGACAGGGCATGAGTCAGCTGCAGTAATGATGCGGTTGGGGTTACTAACGAAGACTTAGGCATCAGTACATGGCTAGGGCTGCTAAATAAGGAACCCTGATAAGAAATGTCAACAGACTCATGCACAGGTACTGCAGAACTGGGAGAAACAGTGAAGATGTGTTGGGAGCCCTCATTATTAGATAAGCCATAAGAAGGTTCAGGCCCTGAAGAACGTGCATGCATCATGGCATCACTGCTGGGTGCTTCACCTTGAGAAAACATATGTGTTCTATAAAGGACACCAGACTCACTACCAAATTCCAACGTCTCTGAAGCAGCATGAGGAGTGGTCTGATGTGACACCACATCAGAATACTGAGCAAGGCTGGGCTCTAATAGCAAATCACCCCCAGCCACTGGCAGAGAAGCATGCAAGGACACCTTATCACTTTCAGTAGCTGAAGTAACTTGTGGAAGGTTTTGAGAAACTGTATGCAGGTGGCGAAACAATTCACTACTGAAGGAAGCAGAGGAAAATGGAAGCAAAGGTGCACCATCAGAGGAAGACAGGATGGATTCGACTGACACATCGACACTGGGAGATACAGGCGTAGCATGCAAGGCCGAATCACTACTTGAAGCAGCAGGGGTAGTGTTGAGGGTCTGATTGTCAAGCAACAAAGGGGTGACTAGAGGAAAGACTTCACTACTGTAGGAAGGTTGAAGAGATGTCTCACCATTGTACACCGGTTGGGTTGTCTGCAATTGTACCATGTTGACAGTGGGGGCCAAATCGTGTTGTCCGGAGGATGGAGTAAAAGCATGAGGTGTTACCTCCGTCGGGAAGTAGGCAAAGGTGGAATAATGTGGCATTTCCATATCTGTGACTGAGGGACCCTGTGACACCACTGGGCCTGGAACAAAGTATTCAGTTGTCTTCTCAGATTCATCAACATGTAGCTCCGTGTAATTAGTCTGGAGAAAGCTCTCTCTACCTGATCCAACTTCGGGCTGTGTTGTTGTATCTGTAGAGACAGGAAACCACACATTTCCATCAACAGAAGGATCTTTTGATGATTCTTCTGAACCTGAGGAAGGTGACTCTTCTGAAGCATTTCTTGTGGAGTCTGGTATAAGAACATCATATGTGATTGCCTCTGTGTTTTCTGAAGAAAATATATATCCCTGGGATATGTTCTCAGAGATGAATGGCACAGCAGAAGTTGCAGGACTGGAGCCTGAAGCATCATCAGCTCCGGTATCAAGCTTGAAACTGGTCAACAAACTTTCTTCCTCACTGATATCAGTAGACACTTCTTGATATTCTGTTATAGAAACTGCATTTAAAGACTGTGCAGTCCCAGACAAGTTCACCTGTGGAGACCTAAGAATAGTTTTAGAGCCATCATTTAAAGAGGCTGAAGTACCTTCCATGGTGTGTGATGGCAGTTCTGTCACAGCCTGAGAAGTCAGGAAAATGTATTTTTTTGTTGGTAATTCACTGTCTGGTTGGGAAGTAAAATTTAAAGAGGTGTTGGGAAAACGACGCTTTCCAGAGAATTCACTCCCTCTCGTTGGGGATCGGTTTGTCTTGGCCTCATTGTATTTAGTCCTTACGCGGTTGTAATGTGTTGTGGTAGAAACGTGGGGCTCCTTTTTCCTTATTTGGTTTGTGGCACTGTCTCTACCAGGGTTCACAACAGTGTCTTCTTCAAGGTATTTCCCCTCTTCTTCCTCCTTGGGAAAGCAAACAAGATTTAGTGGAACATAAAAAAAACAAGAGCAAAACAAAATTTTAATATCTTACCCTATTTCGTAATGCTAATTGTCACTTGGTGATCATGGGGAATTTTGATCTTCATAAAACAACATGCTTATATCCTACCCACTGTCCACCTCTGGGGATAGTAATTACAGTGAATGAAAACACATCTTATTTATGGCTGCCTTTATTTTAATGCTATGGAAGGAAGTGATTAAATTAATAGATGTGACAGTTTTAAAAGGAAGACACAGTGTATTTGTAATTATTTATTGAAAATGTTATTTAACATGGTGTTTAGTTTCTTGTTTTTATTCTTCTTTGTAAAGTTCATCAGGCACCAAGATAAAGACCAGTTAGCTTATTTTAATAAGAAATGACAATATATTTCAAAGACCAAACTAGGTGGACATTCATAATATTTAATTGTGTATATTTAGAATAATTCAGAATTTCAAAGTCATCATAAAGGAGAGATTTAAAAAGTGAACAGGTGTTTGGTTTTGTTTTCCTTTTGTTTTTAACACTTTCCATTTAAGATTCAGGCAGATATTTTAAAGGCCACTTATCAAAATGTGATTCTCCTATGCATTATTTAATTTTGTGTTTCCTTTAGAATCACTATTCAGGAGCACAGGTCTTCCATGCACTTTTATCACAATGGCCCAGGAGTCTTCCGGCCAGAAGCCAATAAAATCCTGCACACGTGAGCTTTCATTCTCTCTCTTTCTGGAACTGGCCATATTGTAATATGTCTAATCATGACTTCAGGAAACTAAATTGCCAAAGGTGTCAAGGCATATATGTATATATTGGCCTATGTAAGACATGATTTTGTGAGTATCTTCGTATCTAATAATTTGTTAGAACTGTGATCTATATAGATCTTCTAATTCCATGTCATTAAAGGAAGAAAAAAAAATGACTGAGTACAATCAAGAAAAATCTGACCAATGTCAACAGAAAGAATCTGAACCTTAAACTGTGTTGGTCATGAGCAAGTTTCTCATGCGGATGGACAGCTGCACTGTATGAGCACAGGATCCAATGACTGCCACAGTACTTAGAGCTGAATTATTTTGTTGGTTGTGTAATATTTTCTGTGGCATACATGATGCCTCTAACAGTAAAATTAATCTAAATGTATCTAAATTTTACTGAAAGCTAAAAGATAAATGGCTATCCTCCCAGATTCCTAAGACACATTTCCTTAGTAATTGTCAGTATTTCTTCATACAAGTGTACAGACCATGAGGTTTCTTGTTCACAAGGCCATCCTGAGAGATTTTACCAAATAATTTTTTGAACAAAATATTCTCCTATTCTGCAAACTTAAAAACCTCCTAAAAAGTAAGAAAGAATGATCTTGGATTGCTTTGGTGAAAATTTAATTATAAAACATGTGTTTTATAACCTGATCCAGAGTTTTGCTGAGGATCAATGTTACTCTTAGCAGTATGGAATTTCCAAACTCTTCCTCATTGTTGCAAATCTGAATATTTGCCTAGTTTCTGGTGTCACTACACACTCTTACTCTCTACCAAAACTCTGTTCAAAAATCTTCATTTTTCTTTCTTTTTATTTCATTCTCAGAAGGCACCCTTCCTGTTTATAGAGAAAACAGAAGCCACCAGACAAAAATGTACCTCTTTCTAACATTAAAAACACATACCAACAAAATTACCTCTGCCCCTCCCACCCTTCTGTAACTGAAGAGTTATTTCCCTTTGAAGGCTAATTCCTACAAGGCTAATTCCTACATGTGTTTTAAATCTATTGTCTACCAGAGATTATTAATCCACTCGTGAGTTGAAGGCACTTGGGTTTTTTTCACATCTTTGTGATTGTGAACCGAGCTCTTATATACATTCAGGTGCAAATGTCCTTGTGATAAAATGATTTTATTTTTCTCCTGGGTAGTTACCTAGTAATGAGATTGTGGGATCAAATGGGAGGTCTGCTTTTAGTTCTTTGAGGATTATCCATCAACCATAAAAAATGGTGGAGACTTGACATGTTTTGTATTTACCTGGATGGAGGTGAAGAGTAGTCTCCTTAGTAAAGTATCTCAGGAATGGAAAGGCAAGCATCCCATGTGTTCAGTACTAATTTGAAACTAGCATGGGAACAACTACAGGCTCACAAGAGAGAAAAACACAATTAAATTTGGGAAGGGGGGTGGGTTCAGTGGGCTCCCACCTATCAGGTACAATGTAGGGGTAAAAGACACATCTCCTGAGTGAAGGACTCAATGAAATTTGGACTATACCCTTACTAATACAAACTATGTAACCCCTTATATGTACCCTTATGTTAATCCAAAATAAATAAATTAAAATTAAAAAAACAATGAAACAACAAAAAAATCTATTATTGTCTATGATGTTCTTGGCAACTGAACACAAGTGAGCACTTCCTTCTATTTTCTGTTGTCAATTTGTTTTCTCAAATTCTCAGACAGATCATTCCTACTAGTCAACTCAGGTCTCTCCTACTTAAAAGAAACTTAATGGAAAACCTCTAATTCAACTTCTATCTATCCTTCTACCTCTCTTCTCCCCAAACACAGCTAAAGTTCCCAAAAGAAATGCTATCTATTTTTTTTTGTATGATCTAATAATATCAATAGGCTTCCATGATACCTGTATTATTTTTCTTCCTCTTTGCTTACATTCCCCATCAATACATATTATCATAGCTTACCAAAAGTAACATATTTCCATAAAGTTTTCATCATAACATAATGCTACTCACCACTTCTCCTATTAGATATAATAGACAAAACTCTATGCATATCACATACATGTCCCTCAGACCACTTTCTGTTCTACTGACTCTAAATTTTATGAGGCTCAGACAATTCTCAGAACCCAATGAAAGTGATGGACCATTCATTAATCCTACCCCATCATATTTTGTTGATCTTTATGGAAGGTGATATGTTTTATCGATATATCGATATATGTTGATCTTTATGGAAGGTGATATGTTTTATCGATATATCGATATATGTTGATCTTTATGGAAGGTGATATGTTTTATCGATATATCTATATCGATATCTATATCAAATGTAAACTATATCAAATGTATCAAACTATATCAAACTATATCAAACTATATCAAATGTATCAAACTATATCAAATATATATCAAATATATCAAATATATTATCGATATATCTATATCGATATCTATATCAAATGTAAACTATATCAAATGATATAGTTTACATTTCAAGGCAAACATATGATTCATGCTCCAAGATTACTTTATTCATATCTGATCACAAATATTTTAATAAATATTCTTTCCAGTAATTCCTTATGGAGTTACTGTGAATCTTTCTCTACTGTAGTTTTGATCTGTGTCATATCTATTATCCTTCACAACTTCCATTTATAAAATTTCAGTGTTCAGCCACCCAATGTTGGGACCTAGGCTGATACAATGAGTTATTTCTTTCCTCCTGCTCAAGTACCTTTCTTTGACTACAACAAGCCAGCCTGTCTAGGGCAAATGTTTAAACATTTTCACTTTTTCTCTACCAGGAAGATCTGCTTGTATTTGTAATGTTCCCATGTAACTGATGAGACAGGAAGCACCGTGATATATGGGACACACATGGCCTTTGGCATCTCTGTCCTAGAGTGTCATGACAACAATCAAGGCTCATTCATGTTGCTGTGAATGACAGGATTGCCTTGTGTGAAGTGAGGTACACTAAGAACAAAAAGATAAATACCATGTGTTCTCACTCATACATAGAAGTTAAAATAGTTGATCTCATCAAAGTAGAAGAATAGTGGTTACAAAAGGCTAGGAAATGTAGTGGGGAAAGAAGATTGGAAGAGATTGGTTAAAAGATAAGAAAATTATAGCAAATAGGAGAAATAAATTCTAGTGTTTTACAGGATGACTCCAGTTATCAGTAAGACATTTTCAAACAGCTAGAAAAGAGATATTGAATGCTCCCAATATAAAGGCATACTGATGATGGATATGAAAATTACACTTATTTGGTCACTGTACATTGTATGTATTACTATATCACTATACATTCTATAAGTGTGTACAATTATTATGTGTAAATTAAAAATATTTTAAAAAGATATACCAAGTCATTTATAGCTTTTTGCATAGTTAAATATTATTCTAAATACAATATTATAGTTTTATGTAGAAAGGTACCAGTAATTAACATGAGAACATTTTAAACAACAATGTCAATAGAGAAGAAAAATAAATGAATATGGTAAAAAATTGATCATTCCTTAGTTTTTTCTAAAAAGTTCATGATATTTCATATGAGATGTAACTCAAATCAAATATACTTTACTCACTGGTTCCAATTATCAGAACAAGGGCCTACTTCAATATTATCGAAATAATGATTTGGCTCAGTGGGTAGGTAACTAGCCACATACACCCAGGCTAGCAGATTTGAACCCAGTCCAGACCAGCTGAACAACGATGACGACTACAACAACAACAAAAACAGCCAGGTGTGTGACAGGAGCCTATAGTCCTAGCAGCTTGGGAGGCTGAGGCAAGAGACTCGCTTAAGCCTAAGAGCTGTGAGCTGTGACACCATAGCACTCTACTGAGGGTGACCTGCTGAGACTGTCTCAAAAACAAAAAAAATGATTTGAATTAACAGCACCACAGACAAATTACTTCAGCATGATATAATTCATCCATGTTTCAAAACCTCCTGCTCCCCCCAAAAATTAGGCAAGTAATTTCAGCAAAATAGTGACTTGCTTATATAGGAGAACAGTTATCACTTATATAAATTATTGAGGAAGTTATGCCTCTGAAAACACAACTTAGTTGCTATTTATTGCTAGATAACAGCCTTAGTTGTCACAGTTTGCCAGCTCATAGACAATGTGTACACATCACACATTCACACTATTATCGATGATTGCACCTGGATTGAACACTGAAATATGAACCCCAGATTTAGGCTTAGGATGAAATATAAGATACTTCAGTAGCTTACCCATATTTGAAAAATTAAAATAATGTTAAAAATTACAGATATTCTCAAATACTCATTTATTTGGAGGACATTATGCCAGGAACAGGTACTTATAATATGAATAATCCAATATGAATAGTCCAAACACAAATAACCAGATTAAATGGGCATATGTATGTATATATATATATATATGCACAATATATATTTTGGTTCATATTTATTAAGCATCTTTCAATTATTGGTTACGAGATATTTATAAATAAACTATACTAACATTAAAAACTTTAAGAACTGGTCAGATATTACTTCAGTCCTATAGAAAAATCTGAATGCTAAAAAATTGCAATTTATAGTTATAGGTCATAGCCACAATTTTTAAAAATTAAAGTTGTTTTTTCCATTACTGCAAACCATTTGATATTTCTCTATTTTCTGTCTTACAAAAATGTCCTCCAACTTTTCATTAAAAAATTGTGTATATATAAGACTGTCTATACATAAAGCTAAGCGATTAACCCCACAAACGATAATTAATGCAACGTGGACTTTTATTCATGCAACAAAACCTACAGCCTAAATAATAATTCTATATATATATATATATATATATATATATATTTTGAGACAGAGTCTCACTATGTCACCCTCGGTAGAGTGCTGTGGCATCACAACTCACAGCAACCTCAAACTCTTGGGCTTAAGCGATCTCTTGCCTCAGCCTCCCAAGTGGCTGGGACTACAGGTGCCTGCCACAATGCCCAGCTATTTTTTGGTTTTATTTGTCATTGTTGTTTAGCTGGCCTGGGCCGGGGTCCAACCCACCAGCCTCGATGTATGTGGCTGGCATGGCAACCCCTATGCTATGGGCACCAAGCCCAAAATAAGATTTTTAAATTTTAAAACATATGAATATAAGAATGGCCATGATACCTTGATTATTTCTTCAGATCCAATTAATCCAGGAAAAAAGTCAAGTTCTACAAAATTAAAAACAAAATTATTAAAGGTTTTCTTGAATTATTTTAGCTTCGTGGGTTTACCTTTGATGAAAAGAGAAAAAATAAAAGAAACAACAAATGTTAGATTTGAAAATACAGAATCTCTCAAAATAAAAGTATCAAAGTTTAAATTTTAGTGTTCAACATTACTAAATACGACATAACACAATACTCCTCAAACTTTATTTGTAACTGCATTCTCCACCTGATCTCTTTGATTCCAACCATCTTTCCCACTCCCATCCTTAATCTGAACAAAGCAAAGAAGACAGCAGTACCTGATCTACCTGAGTGTAAAGGAACTGAAATAATGTTTCATCAGTGAAACAGTTACTTTCATCCTTAACCAGGCAAATAAAAACATAGGGAAATGGTAAGGATTTTCTGGACAATTGGGAGAATTTATTTTCTTATTCAGCTATCTCTTTCTAAAGTTCCTTTTTAATTAAGAGACGGATAATTCTTTTTACTCTTCAAATTTGGGCTCACACCTGTTTGTATACAGAGTGCTGCCCAAGTAAAATGAAAGAGCATTTTACAGTGGGTCTCAGCCTATGTGGGCACCAAGAACTGAACAGAATGATGCCTGTGCGTTCTCCCCAGGGAATCTCAGCTAATGTTGCCTGTGCAGAGTTTGATGACTTAGGATTATTCAAGTCTAGTCTTCCCAGTCCACCAGAATCAGCATATGGGTATCTCAGTGATAAAACATGAGTGTTAGGGAACATTGGGTGGTCCTCTCTCCTCAACAGGGAATCCAGCCACAATGCCGAATTACTGAGGGGCAAGAGAATTTTTCCTTAGTTTTCATCTGAGTTGCCTAGGTCATTAAAAAGATTGTAGACAGAAAGAGCATTATTATAATGATTCTCTTCTTATTCCTATGTCTTTATCTCATTCTGTCCCCAATGTTTATGCTCTGCCACTGTCCCAGTGCTGCTATGCTCTATGTTATGTCTTCACAAGTTATAAAAAAAAAATGCATATTCTATAGAAATTTCAGTGCATAACTGAAATGATATTAATTTGTCTATCATACCCAGGCCTATTTTCCAATATAGACTTTCTTGAGTTTATTTTTATCAGAAAATTTATAGGTATGAATAAATATAAAACCATAAAATAGAGTCTAGCATGAATTATACATAGAAGAGAATTCATGTGAAATCTATTAAGTGCACCTAGCTCCCAAGAAGATTGAGATAAAGTTAATACTATTGACAACTTAGTTGTTTCAAAGTTACTTACCTTGAATGATTTTCTGTCCTGTAAAATGTAAATACTCACTATAAGCAATCAGTCTTAAGTTTTAATTCTCAGTATCTTTTTATTGTTAAAACAGATCATGAAAGAGTTTTAAAACTTTTATTTGGATCATGAGAGTCATTCTATTTTTTCCCTAGGAATTCCTTTTCCCATACTCTGTATTTTATGCTCTTTATGTTTCCAAATTAAAGTGATTTTGGCCAGGCATGGTGGCTCACACCTGTAATCCCAGCACTTGGGAGGCTGAGGTGGGCCGATCCCCTGAGCTCACGAGTTCAAGACCAGCCTGAGCTAGAACAAGACCTCATCTCTACAAATAGCCAGGCATTGTGGGGGGTGCCTGTAGTCTCAGCTGCTAGAGAGACTGAGGCAAAAGAATTGCTTGAGTCCAAGAGATTGAGGTTGCTGTGAGCTATGATGGCACAGCACTCTACTCAGGGAGACAAAGAGAGACTCTGTCTGAAAAAAATTAAAGTGATTTCAATCATCTCAAACCACGTGCCTTTGCAACCTCCAGGAAAATCAACACACAAATTTAAATATGAGATGCAACTAAACTGTGATGGACCTTCAAAATTATTCTCTAACAGCTATAAGTAAAGAAATTCATGCATTTTAAAAAATCGTTACATTGAAATCATGAGACAATAGTTTTATAGCAAATAGTTTAAAATGAAGCCTCTCCTTGTCATTTATTTTTAAAATATTGTAATGGTCATAATAGCAATTCGCAATTTCTTATTAATGATATGTTAATTAATATTATAATATTATTATAATTATCTAATTATCTAATTATTATAATATAGATTTTTCTCTGTTAAGAGGCTATGAACAAAACAATATTCCATTTATTTCAACACGCTTAAGAAGGTATTTTAAAATAAAAATAATAGTGGTCTACCTTTGTCTAACCTCATACTTTTAATGGGCCAAGGCAGTATGCCTGTTTCATTGCCCGAGTTGGGGTGGGGCATCTAACATTGTCACGCTGAAGACCAGTTTCCTTTGCTTCCAGTGTTTTCAGTGAGCATTGCATTGGATTTATCTTTACTTTTTCACCAGAGCATAAATTAGATTATATCGGTTTTTGTTTCTATTCTAATAAATTAAAATGAAATCTTAACTAATCCCACCCCCCAAAGAATATCAATGACTTACACTACAATAGGGTTTGCTATTTACTATACTAAGAAGAAATCACTTTTCTGTGGGCCTTCTCAGCTCTACAGCACACGCAGACCAGGCTGCCTCTGGGACCCTCTTTGTTTCATAGCACTTTCAGGTGATCACCCCACGTGCAGGTGTCTTCATATTGGTGTGTAAACCCACTCTGAAGGGTCTTCATTGTGGTTCACTGACATTCTGAGGTTTCCTAGGAACACTCCAGTACCTTTATTTCCCAGAATCCAGCAATCTTTTGCTAAACCTTAGAACAATTTTGAAACGAAGTGATTTTTAAATATTGTTTGTCTTCCTAAAGATTCTGAAGCCAAGCTTCTGGATCTGTGAGTTCAAGACCTTGGTACTCAACGGCTCTGCTGATGGGCACAAGATTTCATACTGGGTGCTCCTGGGCTTGCTGCTTCCTCTCCAATAACATTTGATATTTTAGGAACCACTGGTCTGACTGCTACGAATGCATTTACCAGCTTAAAAATTATACTGGTTTTAGAACTTCACACTTTACCAAAATAGACTTTAGGAAGGCCAGAAATAAGAATGATGATGAAAAACTGTCAATATCAGTTTTTTTTGAGTGAATGCTTAAAATTCACATTTATGTCAGTAATTGAATGAAAGCTGTTGACTCATTCTGGTTTTGATTTGAGACACAAGTAATGTTAGTTTTTTTTTTTTTTTCCAAAATAACACATTAGTAACACATTAATAGTCCATAACACAAAAAAAGCAACACTGATGTAGGTTGGCAAGCAAGGCTTATTTAATTTTTTGAAGGCAAGCCAAGTTTCACAGTGTAAAACATAAAAGCAATGTAGATTGCAAATCACTTCAAACTATGATTTTAAATATCATTATATAACACAGATAGCACAGGATGATACAGGCAGAGTTAGGACAGATGTATAGTGAATTAACAAGACAATTATTGTACAACTGAAAAGCACACAGTAACAGAAAAAATATGATTTAATTCATCATGCATTTAATTTAACACATAATATATACTTAAATAATGCCTCCATAACTGTATATCACTAGAAGATAAATAAACATAATTATCTTAGTAACAATGCAATCTATATGCTATGGATTATTATTAATAAATATAATTGCTGAAAAGTCTTTTAAAAGGATATACATTTCTTTTTACATTAAAAGCCTTCCTTGACAAATTTAATTTAGTTTCTGAATATGAATTTATACATTTGTTTTAAAATAGCAATTTGTATAATACATATTAGCTTATAATGATACCATTGTAAACAGGTTTAATTAAAAGTTAAAAAAGAAAGTACTCAAATTTCCAATTAGAGTGCACAATTTAATAAAATTAGAAAGTTGAATGCACAATTTGGAAGACTGAGTGTTTCTTCACAAATATTGACTGGACTAGAATATTTGAAATACATGAAATAGTGAGGGCAAATGTAAATTACCTCCTTCATTTCTTTTTAATAAAAGCAACAAAAATACAACATTTGGTGAACACCTTACACTAAATAGTAGTAGAGTAATTCCATAGTGTCTATTACGATGTTACCAAGGTAATGGAATAACATGATTAGCGAGATGAAATGGTACTAATAAAAACCATGAGCTAAGCAGCAAACTCAAAGCCACTTACATCTATATTAGCCACATAAATGAAAAAGTTCACAAGTCTTGTAGGTACCAAATCTGTTTTATAATTGCCAGCTTGTACTGCTGTCAAGATTTTGCTGGGATATAGTTACCAGAGAACAATATTAAACATATTGTAATTTCAGTACTGGATTGTAAATATTTGGATTGAAATATATTGCAGTGTTTAAGATATGAAAGAATGAATTTGAAGAGAACTGGTATTTTCTTTATTAAAAATAGGAAAATCTCCTATTTCAGGTAAGTTAACTTTTTTTTTTTTAAAGTTTCCACACACGGCATTGATTAACCGGCTTTGAATGGAGGAATTTTTGATAGGAATAATTAGGGAATAATCTACCTAAGTTTTTAAACCCGGGCCTTTCAGAAGCATAGTATATCAAAACATCGACTCAAATACCATCTTGTACTAAAACATTACTGTACAAAATGCCTTAAGAGACTGAGGCATCCATGGAGATTAAATGGTGAGCCCAAACAAGCATCTCATTATTACAATGTTCAATGGTGTCCCGATCCTTTGAATAAATAGAAATTAAGTTATAATATTCATTATTTTCTAACAGATGTGAAAATAACACAAATGATACAAGAATGTTATACTTTGTGCTAATATAGACTTAGTCTAAAAGGATCACTCAGAAATCATGTCTGTAGAAAACACACTCAAGCTGTATTTCATATGCAATAAGTTTCTCAAAAGTAAAAAAATAAAATCCCAAAATATTTCAAAAGTTTAAAATTTTAGCATGGCGAATAGAGTAATAAAGAGTATAAAATAAGAAATTAAAAGTAATTATTTTTCTAAAGTTCCAGAATAATAAAATTAAACCAAGATAGTAAACTTCAGTGAATGCGTTCAATATACTTTGGACACTACAATGCACACTTAAAGGTCCAGGAGATTTTTTTATATGCCATAGTTCAACCAATTCACATATGATTTTAGCCAACATGGTTAATGTTGGCTGATAAAGATCATTTTCTGAATGGATCAATGTGAGCAACTTGGATGCTGGTGGCCATTCAATGGAGTAGCTCATAGTTAAAAACACAGTCAATTACTTTGATACTCACCTTTATGTAAGACTTAGCACTCACAGTCCATTAAAAAATTATATGATTTTGACAAAAGTAATTCTAAATAAAGCAATGTGAAAGATGGTTATACCCAGGCCATGAGGCATGTCATAATGAAATAGTAAACAATGATATTGGCATCTTGACGGTAGTAATATTCATTAACTGAAGATCAATTTGGGAGATATTTTGGTAAGTTTTGTAGCCTTTGATTTGAATAATTCATTTTATAGCATATAATGCTTTGATGTACACTGTTTAACTTCAAAAGTCAACCAGTAGGAATAACTATGGCAAGGTGATCAAGGAACGTGTACTTTATTTAAGCTCACATTGGATTTAGACAACAATGGCCAAACAGTGCATGACAATTTTCCTTCCATATGTAAAACTAAAATATGTTATAATTAATATAATTTGTAACCATTCATTTACAATAAAAACATATAAAAGTTCCAGTGGGTAGCCTCATGATATGGATGACCAAAGAGAATTTACATTTACGCATGTATGTTTGCAGATATGTCAATATACACATGTGCACTGTGTGTATACACATATAAATGTATACACTTCCATTCTATTACTTTAAAACTACTTACACTAACAAGAAGAAAACTATGTACATTTATAAACTGTCAATTATGATGGGCGGTGTTTGAATCAATTATTGCATATGATCTGAGATAAAAAGACTTGCCCATAATACTTGAAGAAGATGCATGCAAATAGAATAGAAAACACCTTTTGTTTGTTTTGTTTTTGTGAAATACGTGCTATTGGAAGATCAACTGAGAGGAAATCCCTCCCCTGACCAAATTATGAAAGGTGGATAAAAATATCTAAGATAAAGTGTTGAGATGGTTTGTATAGATATATAAAAATACCTCACATGACCTCAGGATCATGTAAATACTTACTACATAATGCTTTGGGGGCTGAAAAAGGAAATGAAACCAACTCTTAATTATTGAAATTTATCCAACTCTTAATTATCCACAACAATGTCAATGTTCACTTAGTAAATGTCATTCGATGACCATTATAAACTTTTAAAATAGACTTTACTATTCTTATTTTACAAATGGAAAACTTCAGTATTAAGGGCAAATTCAATTACTGTCCTGCACCAGATTGGCTAAATGAGAAACAGGTCCTGGGCCTCACACAATTACCTGATGATCCAGATGTAAAACATTTTGCTTTTTGGCCAAAAGAGCATAAAGTCGGAGAGAAGGCATTAGTTCATCCAGTAACCAACCCAGCCTGATTTATTTAGGTGATATATAGGAATAAGGTGGGCACTTACCAGAGTCATCAGTCGGCATGTCAACAATCAGCTGGTCACTGTATTTCCCATATAAGCCGTTAGTACATATGGCTACTATCTGAAGCACATAACTCATATTGGGCAGCAAATTATTGAGAATAGCACCCTAAAAAAAGATGTGAATGATTACACAAATGGTTATTCTCATAGTAATACTATGAATAATCACAGGACGACTAGTGCAGTAGACATCTTTTCTAGAAAACATTTTCTCATTGGTCAATGAAAAATATTTATATTTTGTTAACATAAGAAAAAGCTTATGCAATGTCACTAACTTGAACTTGTGGTATTTGCAAAGACATGGGGAAACTAGGAACGTTTTGCTTTCCAAAAATCAGATATAACTTTAGAAAGTTGCATATAAAAATTATTTTAAATTAGTGTGAATGCTTACTTATTGTAATTATACAACTGTGAGACGTTATTCAAGGTACTTATTTAACTGTTGTCTAAGTCCTTTTATTTGTAATGAGATACTGCATTAAATAATCTCTGGTTCAGAAGTCTTGCAAATGGCTCCCTTCTATAATGTTGTTGTTGGCAAAATCATATGGTCCCTATAATTCAGGGTAACTTTTGACAGAAGTTAGTATAGCTTCGGCTGCCCCAACCTCACCCCACTAGATGCTCCCATACAAAGTCTAAAGTAACTAAGGGCAAAAATATATGATCATTAGTAAGTTCTCACATTGGAAATTAAACCATAACGTTATCAAACATAAAATAATTCATCTTATAGTTACCAAATCTTGATAGCCATCTGTCAAAAACTCATGCTTGGTTTGGTCTTCTCCCTCCAACTGCTGGTACAAAACTGCAAACTTCTCAATCATTGTGTCGTACACTACTCGAGGCCTTTCCCACGTAACAAGGAGGCTGGTATAGTTCTCTGGATCAGCTTGAACATTTTCTGGTTCTGAACTACACACTTCAGAGAGAAAAAAAAAGTATAGCTATTAATATAACTGTTAGCCTCCAAGACTTTAATAAGTTAAACATATTCCATAAAAACTTGTATTTTCTGGCTCGGCGCCTATAGCTCAACCGGCTAAGGCGCCAGCCACGTACACCTAAGGTGGCGGG